TTAGGGCCCTCCGTGCCCCCAGCTCCATGGGAAAGGCTGGGGGCAATCGTACGGCTTCCCCCGGGGGGCACTCGAACAGGGGGGAGACGGAAGCCCGGGGGTCCGCAGCTGCTCCCCGAAAACTCTCGAGTGTTCAGGCCCGGCCAAGAGCGGAGCCCGCTGCCAGCACACACGGCCGGGCTGTTCCTGAGCCCATCCTCGCCCAGCTTGGGGTGGCTACGGCCGGGCTCAGCTCATTGCCCAGCTTCACCCCGCAGCAAGGGGCACGGCAAAGATTTGGGACAGGGAGTGCTCGGCTCTGAGGCTGGGACCCCGCTCACGACCGGCTCTCGCTGCTTTTAAGTTTGATGGGAAACGGAGGTGGGAATCATGGCAAATCCCTGGAAATCACAGCAAATCCAGCAAATCCCATCGCCTCTGCTGGAAACCCTCTCAAGGGCAGCCCCCCAGGGGCCGAGAGAAATCCCACAGAGAAAGGCTGGACGCTAAAAGGTTCTTAAATATTTAGTTCAGATTTATTTAAAGTCAAGTCAGTTTGTGGACACTATTTATATTATTAAAAACACTTGGAGGTTTGTACTTCTAGCAAAAATATACATTTCAGTTTGAGGGTTGTTACACTGTCGAGGAGGGAAGAGCAAAAAGTTCCCCAGGCGATGAGCACGCGAGTCCCGCATGCCGGCCACGGCAAGGGATGCCACCGGGGGGCTGCGGGAAGGACAAATCCCCTGGGGTCCGTCCAGCACACGCACGTCTCCGGTGCCTTCCCCGAGAGGGCTTCAAAGTGCTTTAGAAACGGTAATTCATAACACCCCTGCGAGGTAGGGAGGGGAAGGGGCTGGGCGGGCAGAGGGGGGGGAAACTGAGGCACGGCAAGGAGCCGGAGGGCGGCAGCAGGGGCAGGTTTGGGACCGGCCAGCCCTGTGATGTGGAGGGGAAGCCCAGCAGTCTTCCCCTTCGGGTTTTAAAGGAAGTATTGCACCAGGGAAATCTGCTACCCTGAAGAGGAGGAAAATAAAATAAAACCGACTAATTTGCTCCCACAGCCCCTCCTTGGGAATACCAGCATTTTAATAAGGCTGCTCGGGACACATGGGACCACGAGCTGCAGACGGGTAAGTGCCACTTCTTAGGTCAGACACCATCATCCCGAGAGGGGACCGAGCCCTTCCCGGATCCGTCCCCTCTCCCAGAGCCCGGGTGACGCAGCCCCCCACGCAGGGGTCCGGTCCCGGGCACAGGCGGCAGCACCGTGGCGTTTCACTACAGCTGCGAGAAGTTGCGAGGTAAAGTCCCAGAAGGGCTCTGGGTTTAGGCAGACCCCGAAGCCTGGAGCTGTCCCCGCACTCGGGATGGCGGCAGAGGAGGGCAGGGCAGCTTCCCTGCCCCAGCCGCGCTCACCAGGAAGCTCCTGCTCATTGTAAGCATCCCACCCTCTCCCTCCCCTTTTATAAATACTTGGCATTTATACTGTTTTACAGCTGCAAAGCTCTTTGCAACCAATGCACTAATTAATCCTCGTGCTCCCCTTCCGAGCGGAGAGCAGGTGACAATCCAGCTCCCTTTCACAGAGGGGAAACTGAGGCAGGGCAGTTAACAGACAGGTCAATGTCCTTTCAGCATCATGAGCACTGCGGGCTGGCCGTGGCTTTGCTTTCCCCTCGCTGGTGTCGCTGAAGGCTTTGCTTGCTCCGGTGCTCACAGGAGCCATGCTGCTGGGGAGCCTCTGCTGCCCGCGCTGCCCTGCAAAACCCCCAGAGCCCCCCGGGGCTTGGGAAGGGAGCTGCAGGACAAGCTGCAAGCCCTGCTGCCTAAACCCCGACCAGTCCCAGGCCTGCCCCTGGCCCTGCACAGACCTTTTTGGTAACTCATGTCTGTGCAGAAAAGCCTGGGGAAGCAAACAGATTCTGGCCTCTGCTCTGAAGGTGATTTTTTATGAGTCAAACCCTTTCCCTCCCAGCTCCCCGTCCCTCCCTCTCTCATACTGAGGGGCAGGCTCCCTCTGAAATGGGGGTACCAGGGCAAGGGCTCCCACACGGCACTCAGGGGAAGGCAGAGATCACACAATCCCTCTGGGAGACAGGAATACGCCACACAGCGAGGGGGGGGCTGCAGCTGAGGGTCTCTGCTAGGACAGCCCTACCCGTCTTCGAATACTCTGGCTTTTCTTTGGGAAAGAGAGAAACATCCTTTCATTACACTGTCCTAAACTTCACGGCTCAGGACTACGTCTTCGGAGTGCAATACAAAAAAGAAAATAAAGACACGCTCTAAGTGCTGTTGCTGGCCCCGCCGGATACCCGCACCGCGCTCTGGTCTCCTAATGACCAGAGCATCCCCCACCGTTCCCAAGCTGCCGCAGGAACCCCACCGTCTGGGCCACGTAAACCGGCCGGCCGCTCCGGAGGCCCCAGGGAGCAGCTGAAGAACTGGGCCATAGTAACGGAAACAGTAGCTTATGATTTGCCTTTGTAAATTTGTTAGTGTGTGTTAACGGAAGCCCTGGCCTAGCAGGTGGTGGCTGCAAAATCTTACGGCATCTTGCCCTATGTACCATACGTCAGGGTCACGTAGAAGAGTTTCCAGTAGAAGAAATGGAAGACATGGGGAAAGGTTTTCTTTGTTTCTGTACAAAGAGTCTTGATGGGAATCCATGGCTTCATTCTCATAAATAACAGGTCCTTAGTACATGTCCTTGTAAATCTCCTGCAGAAGTGGGTGCAGAGATGTCTCCGTCTCCGTCTTCTTGATCTTCTGCACCAGCTGGGCGTGCTCCGTCACCAGCTGCCGCAGGTCGGCCATCTTCTGCAGCAGCTTGGGGAAGAGGTACTGGGCATCCGGGTGGTTCGAATGCAGGTGAAACTCCAGTGCTCGCAGGATGTTGTCTTGGATCTCCTCCACCTGCTTCACGTTCATCAGGCCAGGACGGTCTGTGGAGAGGAAGCACGGTAGCTGTAGTGTTATGGTGTAGCCCTCCAAAGCACATGCTCCTCCTGGGGAAAGGGAGACGGGGACTGTAACCCACCCACCGTGACTCCAACCTTGTCAACTAGACAAGGGGAGAAGTGTGCTCTTGGACAACATATCCCACAGCAGCATACAAGGAGGAGATGCCGCTTCTACGCTCCTTGCTCTTGGTCCAAGCTTGCTAGGCATCACCGCCATGGAGAAGCTTTGGTTTTGGAACTGTTCGGTTCTTCTCTCATCCCCCTAAGACACCCCTGGCTGATCTCAGGGCCAGCTGCAGCTCAGCTCCCCCAGCCCAGCCCCAACCACCTCTAAGTACAGGAGGACTCTTCCTGAGACTCACACGGCCAAGAGCACCCGCTCACCTCCGCACAGGATAATGGCAGCCACAAACAGAGACAGGTCACTGTCATCTAGCTCCAGCGCGTTGAATTTCACAGCAAACTCAAATTTGGGCTCCATGATCTCGTTGAAGGGCTTGCGCAGGCTACGCAGGACCTCGCGGTTCACGAAGCCATTCCCGTTGGCCACCAACAGCCCATCCTTGTTCATGATGGAGGCCAGCATGGCAAAGATGGCCTCGTGCACCCCATACTTCAGCAGAGTCACTTGGTCGTTCAAGTAGAGGCCTATGAAGCTGGGGATGCTTTTGGCGAACTCCGTGAGCTCCCGCACGGTCTCCACCGTGGTGCACTGGCAGCGGTAGAAGACGTGCACCCCGATCTCCTTATAGGGGGGAATGCCATTCACTAGCTGTTTCCAGACCAGCCCCTTTTCTGCCTGCCACAAGGTGTCCATGTCGTGGATCACAAAAGGCTGCTTGAAAAAGAAGCAAGCAGTTAGGAACCTGCCGCAGGGACTCGAGATAACAGCTCTGCCAAGGACACCCGCATTTGTCTGCCTGTCAGTGCCCGGGCAACCTGCACCCACCCACAACAGCACAAGTCTGCAGAGCAATGGGAATTTTCCCAGCGAGGGGCGGAACGTGTAGAGCCCACCCGGCTGCAGCGGGGAACTGGTGCATGTGGAACAGCTACAGCAGGAGGGAGATGTGCAGCATCTCCCAGAGAACAGCCTCCCATGTGTCCTGGTTTCGGCAGGGATAGAGTTAATTTTCCTCCTAGTAGCCGGTACAGGGCTGTGTGTTGGGTTTAGGAGGAGAACAATGTTGCTAACACACCCAT